CCTTTCCCCCCAATCCGTATTCCACCTCATTCTCCTACTCCTTTGTCCTCACTGCATTTAACCCTTTAAGGGGGTATCGGATCAGCAACAGCACACTAAAGGAAATGTTGGGATTTATTTCGAACCATAACGTACGAATTAGAAGCGCTCATGTGACCTTAATGCAGTTGCGATCGCCGTAAAACTCGTATCAACACAAATCAGAAAAATGCAAATTAGTATAATTATATCATTGTGTTGTTTCCCTGCCTTTCTAAGTATCAGATAAAGAAAACTGACTTGAAAAACCTGTGTAGATAGCTAAGTTATACTACTGTTCTTAAGTTCCCTCAAACAGCACGTCTGACTAGCAGTGTTCAAAGAGTAATGCGCGTCTCGTATGAGTCAATGACATCCTTTAAGTTACATTTTTTTTCCCAGACTAGAGCGATCAGTGCGGTTTAATGAACTTTTCCCCGTTGAATGAGAGTATGTCGCGGATAGGAATGGCAAAGCTTGAAAATGAGCTCTTCTTCGGTGGAACAATTTAGGCGTAATGGTCGCAGTAAACGGCTTATGGACGACACAGGATTCGGGGGGGGGGGGGGGGGGGGGGGGGAGGTTGTACGCGCGCGCGCGCGTGTGTGTGTGTGTGTGTGTGTGATTATTTGAAATGCGTGTGTTAACGTATGTGTATAGATAAATAATATGAATAATTTTATTAGCTTAATTATCGCTGAAATTGCCGATTTCATTATTGATGTGTAAGAAGAGCGCGTAGAGCCAAATTCTGGAGTATGTGTTATAGAAATATATACCCAGCGGCTATAGAAACTTTCCACTTTGTCGTTTGTAACTGCGCCCTTGCTCACTTGAGTTAGGGAGCAAAATTTTGCACATCGCTCACCACGTACTCAAGGATGACTCCGCGCTGATCTTTTTCCTTAACAAAAATTTCACAGCGTGATCACGTGACCCACATGGAAATCAACATGTTGTGAATAAGTTCCACCGAAATTATAAAATCGTCTAAATTGTGTTTAGATCGTCACATCAGCGATTTTAGAACCGAAAAAAAACAACAAGTTACATAGACATTCCAGGCGGCTTTTGTCGACTTTAATTGCTGTACAAGATGCCAAGGTTAAGCTCCGAGGAGGGCTGTTGAACAATTTGAATACTCCAAGTTGTATTATCAGCCCGTAGAGTGGCACGGATGCTTCATTACTCCCATCCTGCCATCAATATCCTGAAAGATTGGTTCCAAGTCGCTGGAGTTACACCTGGCAGACCCAGACCAGGCAGACCACTGGTCGATACTGCCCAAGAAGACAGACCGATACTGCTCTGGCTTCTTCGAGACCGCTTTCTCACAACGACCTGCAATGCACGTCAATATCATACAAACGCTGGAAAGACTTATCAGCGAAAGAAGGATACAACGGCCTTAAAACTCATTCGGACATGGAGCAAAGCAGCCCTGTAATAACCAACGTTTGCCATCTTTCCAATAATTATTACGCTTGAACTGACTGGGCCTAAGAGGTAGCTCCTAATACGACAGTAAGATTGAATGGACTGCCACAACAATTAATTAAAATAAGAAACAAAACAAAAAAACTGACTCGATCAATGCGAGGAATATGCCAAGCTTGCATTATTGCAAAGGGCTACAATGTCCGCTACGGACGTGAATTTTTTAAATCAAAGGGTACCAGTTTGTACCTCACACTGTGCCACAATATGAGACTTGATACGTAAAGCACTTTTTGACATATTTTGAAATATGTCTGTGTCTATTTTTTTTAATATGTTGAATAATAAACACGATACAGGCTTCTTTCCAGGTGGACCATTTCTATTGCTGCTGAGTATACTTATCATTTTTCTTATGATCATGTTTACTTATATCCAGCACACGTTGAAATGCTACGAAATCCTAAGCCAACGAAGTCAACTCCCAAATTGGATGTCTCCACTTCTCTTCTTGGGCACTGTATGTCGCAGGATCTATTTGGAGACGTCTCTGACGGAGATAGACCAATCAAAATGCTTTGTGCCTCTGCACCAAGTGAAAACATCTGGAGGGTTACGGGGGAGGGGGGCATGCCACTCTTTTTTAACCCGTAATTTGATATTTTGCAATTAGGTTTCAAATTTTCTGGAAAATAATTGATTTGCGTTAGTTTTAGTGGCTCTAATATGTGTGATCTGCAGCAGACGATACGCATAGCAGTGCATCTGTGTGCGGGAGTGCTCGCCGGAGATGTCCCCGAATATCTTCTGCCACTGTATGCATTCCATTCTGTCGGGGTTGGCCCCAACAGAGTCGAAGAAGTCCGGCTCTTGAATGATTTAAGTGAGAGACATACTCAGACTGAAATAGGGGGGGAG